ACACTGAACAACTGAGGCTGAAGGGAATCTAGCCTTTGGCTTGATGAAACGTCATGAATCCACCCAAGTCAATAGAATGTATATAATAGAATGTATCCTCTTTCAGCCAGGCTGAAAAGCTGAAACTAGAAAAAACAATGCAGAAACTAGAAGCTGAGAACTTTGCTCAAAGCTCAGAGTCCCGGCTCAAAGTCCGGCTCTGTAGCCATGTAAACTCTTAGCTCTAAGCTGCTAGCCACAAACTCATGGCTCTTAGTCATTTTTGCACTTTTCGCGTCTTTTATTTTTCTTTGCCACAAGCTCCAAGTAACATGATTTTTGTCTACATGCACGATCTTTTATTTTCATAAGCCAAGTCAAGACCAACTGAACCAAAACAACAGAAGTGCCTCAGAGTAATTTTGTAACTTTTAATCATCATCAAGTTTTCCTTTTTGAAGATTTTTGACAATTTTAGAGTCATCTGGTCAACGCCAGTCTCCTCTAAAGTTATCCAGCCAAAGTGAAGAGCATTAGAGTTTATTTCGCATCAACCCACAAGAGACACCAGCAGATAACGCCTATGCACGCCCGCCTGCAGAGAAGCTGAGCAGAAAACAAGAGTGCCCGAGACAGAAAGTCTCCTGGCAAACTCCACCAGAGCTGAACCGCTGAGACACCGGCAGAATCCGTCACCGTGATAACGGGACACGGCCTCCAGGAGAATCCACCTAGGTTCTGCGTCTCCGGGGTAACCACGGCAACCACAGCCACCTGAGTTCCAGCCGAGGGTCTTTGGCTACAGCGCAACTCACAGTAGGCCGGTCTTAACACTCTGCTCATGACTGGGTTGATGTCGAAATATAGCAATATTTAATCATCAAACCTAATTTGTAGATGTAGTATCATTAGCTGTATAGCCATAGTGTATAGCCATAACATATTCTCTCCCACCATTGCTAACTCATCACCCTGCTCATTTCATTATTATTTTCATCTTTATGATTATTACACCTTGCATTTACTCTGTAGATAGTAGTCTAGTTAATAAACTTCTTTATTTACACCCAGTTGTTGTCCTGTTGTGTTCTTTTGACGTAGAGACTGGAGATCCATTGAATCGAGAAGTCATGGCTTCTGATATGAGATTGATAAATTTGGAAATGAAGTAATTCATTGTTGTCCTCCCAGAGGACTGGTGCCCCATTTCAACGAGAGTAAATTCTAAAATATGGCGTTAACGCTACATCAGTTTGAACCAAATTGATGGAATAACTGACAGACTGACAGAACAACACTGCCGTTCCCAGAGATGTGCTTCTAGTGTGGCTAAAATATATATACTGTATATAAATGTGTATATATATATATATACATATACCTTGAGAAAACCATTGAAACTATAACATTTATTGTAAATGAACACAATAGCAGTGTTGAGCAGTTGTCTGATTCCTCTGTAACAGAAACAAAATAGGAGATGTTTGTTGTTTGTGTTCAGTAAACTTTTAATTTAAACCTGTCATCCAGTCATGCTATACTGACACTGATGTTGTCCTGATGTTTGTATTCGTTCTTCCAAAACAATGTGTGAGGATCATGGCTTCCTTATATTCATTTATTTGGGCAAGTTAGATTGACATGTGTGTTGTAATATAATACTTAGATTGGAACCATGTCCGGTCATTATCTGATGTTCTGTGTAAACTTCACATTTTGTCAGCTCTGCTGTTTGTTCTGTTCTGGCTGTGGAGGGATAAAGTTTCTCAACGGGAATCAACAATGGAGGATATTATTGTACTGTGTTCACTTCACAGCTCGAATGCTGACACTTTACTGTTAACAATGCGAGCACACACACTCACTCTCACACACACACACACATACACACACACACACACACACACTCACACACACACACACACACACACACACACACACACACACACACTCACACACACACACACACATACACACACACACACACACACACACACACACACACACACACACACACACACACACACACACACACACTCACACACACACAAAACAGTGGATTAAGTGGGAATCAACAGAAAGTTGATAAAACCCACACACAGTTTTTGACTGTCAGTTCACTCTGAATCAGCTTTGAAAGTTATGAATAGGAAATAAGAGACAACTGTTTCATGAGAAAAACAGGCATTTGTCTCAGGAAAACTGAGATAAACATTTAAAAAAAAATGTTTTTTGTTTTGTTTTTGTTTTTGTTTTTGTTTTTGTTTGGCAGCTGCTTTGACACCCAGGCTGAAAATTTGAGAATATGACACAGCTGTATCATATTACCTTTTTAAGCATCTGCTGTTTTTTTGGTTGGATGATTTCCAAAATATCACTAATTGTAGAAAGTTTGAATGAAGTGAACTGTCTGTCTGCTGCACTTCTGCATAACAAATGTAATATGCCGGATCCCAGAAATAGATGAGAAACTGTTTCTATACCTTTAACTAAGACTGACATAAGAAGTAAAATTTTCCTCATCATTGTCAAATTCCAAACCATAGTATACTAAATGAAACAATAAATGAATGTGTATATGCGATATGTAATAATCCAGTGTAGCCAATGAAGTAATTCGATTCTAAATTGAAAGTAATCTTCCTTCCACCCGTGGCCATCATTACAGCAGTTACACAGTAACAGCTAGTAACTCAACAGCATTAAATCACCCACACTCTGCCTAATATAGTTAGCCATGATGAAAATGTCAAATTACCTGTGCTAGCAGGTCCCCTGGTTATATATGATTATCCCCAGCCCACAACCTTTACAGTGATTCCCCAGCCAGCTGCAACAGAGGATTTGGAAAACATAATGATATTATGCTAATGTAGAGATATTGCTGGATTGACATTTTTACTGATTCTACTGAGTGCTTCTATCCATTTTCCCACCCACGCCGCAATAGCTTAAGGTCTCTCTGTCACCAGAACATGCTTTTAACATTGCTGGTGTCAGGGGTAATTTGTGGTGTTACTCAAGTGGGCTTGTTTCAATGCAATTAGTTTATTTTCTTTGTGTAATGAGTCTATGCCCTGAGCTGTCTGCCTTCTAGAAACAATTGGGGACAGCAAATCCCAAATTCATTGACTACTATTTTGGTCTGTTGATTTTAATTTGTTTTTTTTTTTGTTTTGTTTTTTTTCTAATTCAGATCTTTGTCCAGGATAATCACAAGACCGTCTTTGGTTTACACAGCATCATACACTCCACTCCACCCTACCATCCATCCATCCAATCATTTTCAACCACTTAATCCAGTGTTGGGTCATGGTGTCAGCAGGCCAAACAAGGTAGTCCAAACATCCCTCTCCACAGCAACATTTTCCAGCTCCTCCTGAGGCATTCCCAGGCCAGATTAGATATATAATCCCTCTAGCATGTTCTGGGTTTGCCCAGGGGTTTCTACCATGATCTTATCTAAATAAAGTACATGCACTGGTTTCTGCAAAGTCAGTACTTTAACAAATAGTGTATTCATAATGTCTTATTCAGTCTTTTCTTTTTTCTTAAACAAAAGTACCAATATCTGCACATGGTCAGTATATTACTTTCCAATCAATCAATCAATCAATCAATCAAGTGACACCACTTCGTTAATTTCACATTGGGTTTAGACATCACACATCGCTAACAGAAAGCCTGAAATACAAACCAGGCAGGGAAGGTCTAACAAAGACTGGTTACATTATGGGAAATGTGGGAACCAGTGTTTTTAGAGCTTGACCCATTTTAGGGACAAACCACACCAACGACTTTAGAGACAAGCATTTGTTAAGTGAAGACCAGTAAGAGTGGCAGCAGGATTACAGGATAACAAGCCTATGGACTTTTGTTGCACTGGTAAACTGGTATTTTCCTGTGGTGTCCTTTTTGTGAATCCCAAGTGGGAGACGAGGCAGAGGGTGTGGTGATGCCAATCCAGGGGTGCACTACAATCTTGGCGTTAAGAATGAGTGTCATTTGCGTGGTCCACCGCCCGCCTGCTCAGATCAGATCGACACAGTGTAATTGTTCCATAATATTTTGCTCATTTTATTTGGTGAAATCCCATCTGCACAAACCTCACTAAAACACTAACAACCACACAAACAGTATTCATCATCATGTATCCTGAAAGCCTTTCCTTTACTCTAGCGAGTCTCATCGCAGCTGTCTGAAGGCAGCAGGTTTCCGTAACTTGAGAGATGTTGCTCAGTATCAAAGTCTGTATGTCCCAGAAAGCAGTAAGTTTCCTCCGAGGAAAACTTTCCACAGGATTCCCAAAGTGTCAGTGCGCCATTACAGGGATGGAAGTAGTGAATGTGATTGGCCATGATACCATACAATTATGGTATTCATTCCTGATCCCACCGTGTTTCTAAGTGCACCTGGCCATAAAAATACCAAGGTGCGATTGGCTACACCGTGAGGGCACTGGGCGGGACACACATGACTGTGACCAGTACTGTGCTGCAGAGTTCACAAAAATAGAGCCCTGGCACATACTATGGTCACATCAGTGCTTTTAGCTAAATAATAACATGCTCATTGGGATAATGTTAATTTGCTAATGATTAGTGTTTACAGTGTTCATAATCTTAGTTTAGCATGTTAGCATGCAATAATGTTCTAATTAACACTAAACATAAAGTACAGCTCTGGCTAATGAGAATGCCATCAGTTTTTCAGGTCATAAAACAAAGTGGTGAAACTTCATGGTGGCACTAGAGGACAGGCCAGAGGATCATCAAAGTCACTAAGCCAAACAAACCACATGACAGGGACATCTGGTCTGGTCTACACATTGTGTGTGAGGATGCATCTTGATTCCACATGTCAGTTTCAGTAATTCAGTACAATATCTGCAGCAGTGATATGTATCACTCATATAGGAACTATAAATTATATCAAGGTCAGTACAGGTCACCTATTTACCAATTCAAGGACATACAGTATTTACTCATGCGTGTTTCCTCTGTTTCTTTGCTTCTCCACAGGCACCCATAAATTTGTGACAGAGGGGGAACATCTGGAACTGACAGCTGTCACCAAAGAGGAGTCAGGATCATATGAATGCATTGCTTCTAATGACATCTCGAGCCCTGACATCAGGACAGTGCAAGTCACCGTCAACTGTAAGACCCAACACTATCACATTCATGGTCTAACTACACAGGGGGACATAACGATCAGGACATATGGGGTATACAAAGAAAGCCAATTGCTGTCTCTCGGATATACAGTATCCTCAAATAGACCCTGACTGAAAATGAACTATTCTTAAACCATTTTGACTACAGTCCTGATCCTAACCATTTCTGAAAGGGAACTCTTTGGATTTATTATGAAAAAGAGTTACTCCACATGATACTGAAACAGAATCAAAATTTCAGAGGGTACTTTTTTTTTTTCTCAGTCATTAGAGTAGCAGTTATACTGGGACGATAAAATGGTTTACACAGACAGACCCATGAGGCTTTGTCGCTTTCAAAGGATGAATAGTTCGTCATGGTTTAGTGAAGATTCAACTGGATGCTATCCCAAATACTGTAACAAACTCAGTCGCAGTCTGTATTTAGGCCACTGCTTGTTCATCATTTTGTCAATTCACATTAAAGGAATAGGAGTGTGAAGCAGCATGAATATGTCTTCAATATGATGCTATTAAACACCACATTTCACTTTGTCTCACAGATCCTCCCTTCATTTCTAAGGCACGGAGTACAGGTACTCCAGTTGGACAGAAAGGAGTCCTGCAATGCGAAGCCTCTGCTGTCCCGAGGGCAGATTTTGAGTGGTACAAAGAAGACCGCAGGCAAGTCTCACCTCTGAGCTCTGTGACTCCTACAGGCTTGGAATTGTTTGTAGTCAGTATGACAGACACACAAAGACATCTGTGCTGCTTTAAGGTGTGGACTCTCTTTATGTGAAATCCTGTAAACCAGACTGGATCATCTTTGTTAATAAGTGATGGCTTTTTACATTATTATTCTTGTTTCAGATTAGATTGTGCTTTTGATGTAATGAGATAATCCAATTCATGCTCGGCTTTGCATTTTATTCTCTCTATTTAATCACATTATGAACAAAAGAAAAAAATAAGGAGGAAAAACATCAGTGAAATGGTTTGAAAAATAGACATGGTCACCAAAAGCACTGCAATCGGTTTGTGTGAGTGTTGTGTTTGGTTTGAAGGTTTAGAGAGTATTATAGAATAAAGCAGGCTTTTCCAGCTGAAGCCTGGAAACTGGAAAGATGTTTATGAGTAGTCCCAGAGCTGGTAAACCGATATAAACACAGCCTATGTTGCACTGTTAAATGGTCCCTGACGGTGACAGCAGCATCGCTTGTCAGTCCCCAAAAGACAAAATCAGTCCCCAAGAACAAAAAGATGGAGGATGCTGATAAAATAAATGACTGGCATCCACAAACATGAAATAAGGCAACGACACAGTAGCAGAGGAATAGGAAAAGCAATGAGCGAAACAACAAAGGTTGTCGTGCACTGAAGGATGAAGTCCACACATGTGCAGTTACTTCAATAAGGCAGTGAGCTGAATTCAGAGTTTTTGGCTTGACTATGAAAAATGCTTGCTCTTCACAGCCTGCAGGTGTTAATGTGTTTCTAACTTCATGCAGATATAAGTCTTAAGTACACGTGCTAGAGATTTGACAAAAATGCCGAAGCAAACATGCACACGGCCTCCCAGAGGATTCAAAAAAAAGCAGAGTTTCTTTCCTGCTCACCAGCAGAACCCTTGAAACCTGCCCCCCTCTCTCTTCCAGGCTCTTCAACGGACTAAACGGAGTTAAGATAGAGAATCAAGGTAAACAGTCAATGCTCGTCTTTTTCAACGTCTCAGAAGAGGACTATGGAAACTACACTTGCGTTGCCATGAACACCATGGGAATGACTAATGCCAGCATAATCCTTTATGGTAAGAATAAAATGTTGATCAATTGTGTTAAAATTATTGTAATTTAATTTTTAAATGGAAAGCATTTACTCTTTGCATGCTAGCAGCAGTGCAAAGAAAAAAAAAAGTCACCCACTCTGTGTTATGTAGTGCTTTACCTTTTTATTTCTGCCATTCATTAGTTTCCATGGCAATTTCAACACCAATGAAAAGCTCCTGTTTGACTGAGGAAATAATCCACATGAACATCTGAGCTCCAGTTAATCACAGTTCATTCTCAAACAAGGCTGTGGCTCCAGCACTGATTTGAACGTTGAGACATGCTAACCCTGATGATAGGAGTAAGTGTTGTTATTCTCCTCCAGGTCCTGGTGCGATGCATGATGTGAATGGGGCTGCGGTGTTACCCCGTTGCTCCGTATGTCTCCTGCTGACTGTAACCTTACTCCACCTGCTGAAGTTCTGATGTGAAATGTGACAACCTCCAAGCTTCTCTCAGCATTGAACAGCAAGAACAGACTATTAGTCCTATGGAAATCCAAGAGCGCCAGTGGTTCACCTTTAGTTATCTTTCGTTTTTCTTTCTGGCTTTGCAGCAGAGTCTGTTCTCTGTCGGCTCGCCAACAGTGAGAGGCATCAATCCAAGAAGGGGAAAATTTGAATCATGCACTAATTTGATGATGGTAGAACTACAGAGTTTGTGTCTCCCCAAAACCTTTTTGTATGTGGAAAGGGAAAAAGAAAAAAATACATGTAACTGTTGATAGTTGACTGTTTATTGCCCAATATTGAAGTGTACATTCAGATTATTATTATTGTGTCACGTCCTGTTCAATATCTGTACAATACCATTAAGCTTTTTTTAAGTAAACAACAAAAAAAGGGAAAAAAAATGCAATGTGATTGTTGAATTTTACTGTATTTTTACAGTTGTATGCAAAACAGAATAACAGATCATTCATGGTAAACAGTTCAGAATAATAAATAGTACACCATGATTTCTCAGGCAATGTCCTACATCATAGTGCATCCAATTTTTTTTTTTTTTCATTTCTACTGTAGTGTGTGTAGAAAATGTACAAATGTGTACAGAAAATTCCTGCAGTTGTTTTTCCAAAATGCATACACTTATCAAAATGGCATTTCTGAAACACCTAGTCATAGCAGCTTCATGGCATATTCATACTCATATCTGAAATAAGATTTTCAGACTCTAAACATGTATGTTAAGTATCATTTAGGACAGAGGTGTCGGTCAGTGTGCCACTTCATTCTCTCCGGTAACCAATTAAATTAAAACTTGTTTAACAAATAGTACTGATGGTGTCAATAACGGTCATGTTAGTGAGTGGTCTAATTAGCAACTTGGCACTGAACTGATTTTCCCCTAAGTGCTGTTAATTTAGAAAACTAAATTTAATTTGTAACTACATATTCCTCAAACACCTGATGATATTTTGAGCTTTCACAGTCTTGCTTTAAAGTTGCAACTTGTGTAATTTAACCTGATGGTAAATTATCAAGTTATCTCAAAAATCAGCAAAAGTACATTCATATTTAATATATAGCCTTTACAGTGAGTTTCTCAGGCAGCCACAGTGGTCCTCAAGTTTTCTCGGTTGAGCAGTGGACTTTTATGCAATTGAGGCTTTTTGTTTGGATTTGCGGAACCAAACAGGTGACAGCTTATCACAAATCATGTTGGGGTTAATCGTTTTTTTATTTGATTGTTTGTTTCTGTTGATCTGCAAGTAAGAAATAAATGGTCCAGTACTTTATGATAAATGGTTGTCTTGTTTAACATATGTCATAGCATTAAAATCCAAAATATCTCTTAATGTCCATACATATACATACACATATAAAGTATCTACTACCAATAAGTGAGAACTTGCAATCTTATTCACTAAAATTTAGTCCATTTGTTTTCATTCATATCTATATTTTTTTTTTCAAATTATTTTTATTTTTGCTTTATTTTGCATAATAAAAGCAGACATTATATTCAGTGTGATAAATTACATAAAACTTTTGTTGATTCTCGTCTGTAAATTGAGTTTAGCATAGCAATGAATTAAGACAGTACAAAAATAGTGGTATGTTCCTTTAATTAGCTCCTACACATATTCAATATATAAATTAATGGTCATGTTTTATATTCAGACGTGCTCTGTCAGTCAACTACAAAAAAAGGGTGTTTTATCATGTTTATCTCTGAGGTATTAAATTGTTTTAATTTGAATGTGAAGTGGTGGAGTAGCTGAATAAACTGGTTTGATTTAGAATCACATTTCTTCAATTAAAATACGTCTGTGGAGGCTGAGGTGTTTTTGACAATTTCATCTAAAAGAAAAAAAAAAAGAAATAAAATGATGCACAGCTCCAGTCCACATCCAAGCCACAGATGACAAGCAGGAAAATCTAATGAATGACAGGACAACTTGGATGAATGTTCCGTGCAGCTGCTATGAAGCTTTTTCCAGGTGTTATGAATGTTGGTTTTTAACCTGGTTTGCCCCGAGATAAACGGCAGCCGCTGTTCTCAAGACTTGCAGGAGTGACTGTTGTGTTCTGTGGTCGGTGGATGCATTTTCACGGGATATTTTTCAGTCTGCCTTGCGCAGAAATTTCCAGTGATGAGAATATTCTTGCAGCACAAGTGATTGATAATGTGATGTTCTGCTATTGTCCAGTTCACTCCTGTGCATACCTATGAGTAAGAAGTGTGTTGAAGACAAAACAAAAAGGCTGAGATTGATGTATGTGGGAATGCTTTCGTTGTACTCACGTTCAGTTATGTGCTTGTGATGATGGTGAACCAGTCAGCTGCGGACTATGTCACAGGATGTGATTTCACTTCTTAGGGGTTTGCAAAACAACACAGACAGGTGAGATTCAGATGCCTGCAAAAACTAAAGTTAATGTAACGCTTTTCATCCCAGATAGATGAACGTGATAAATATTGATGTCAATAAGCTTGAATCAGTTTGTTTAAAATCCCCATTAAAACAGAACTGATACTGGAATTTAGTTAAGGCGTATTTTTGCATATAACAACAACATTGTCTGTTTATGATTTAAGGATTTTATATTTATGTGTTGCACATTATCCTATAACGCCCTAATGCATAATTCTCTGGGCATTTTAAAGTTTGCAGTATTTGCAATTCGGTCGTCTTTGTTTATCCTAAACAGTTAAGTTTATACTGTATGATTCCACTGATGGCTGCATTGTTGACCTGTTTTATATGTTTTCTGACCTTACTGGAGGTTCAACATACAGTAGTCACAATTGCGGTATATAGTCAATGTATCATTTGATTGCGAGATTGCCAAATTGTCCATAAACTGCTTAAATGTGAATTCAAGTTGCCAATCATTTGTTCTGACTATGAGCCAATACGTTTTTTTTTTTTTTGAAGCTGCACTAGTCAATATTTTAACAATGGATAAAATGATTACATGTCATGTTGAAGATGTCACATGTAGTGATGAACCCACAGAGAATTATCAGTTTAAACTCTGCAGTTCATCTCACTGTGCAGGGCATTTACTATCATTCACCTAATTGTGTTGATTATGTGGCTCACAGCTTTAGCTTTTGGCTTGGTATTAAAAAGGCCTTGCTAAGTTGATGACTCTCTGTTCAGCACCAAAGACCAAACAGACAAACAAAGTTAGCAACTAGCTTACTATCTGGTGAGCATTAGCTGAGCATTTAAGAGTGATAGTTTTTCTCAGGAGTTGGTGGAGACCAAACCAAAGCTTAAAGGACAGTAAATACTGGATGTAACAGTTGTCAGGTGACCAGAAACATATCTCCAAATGAACCTGTGCATATTCTCATTTGTCCAGGTCATAGTATCCTAAAGGAGTTTAAATCGAAAAAAAAAACAAAAAAAAAAACAACTGGACTTGATTATTTGTCTGGGAAGACGTTTCACCTCTCATCCAAGATATAACAGGTACCAGACTACTTATAAATTTGGCCACTATGATTAAATGGGAGGGAAGTTATGCAGATTACAAAATATAAGAAATTGGGACAACACAAAATATGAAATCTAGAATGGCACTCAGTAGAATGCATTCCTCTGCCAAGGCAAAATTCCTGTTCGCTGCATTATCTCTGGTCAAGTTGACTGTTCACGGCTGGCCAAAATGACCTGTCACGCCATAAGGAAATGTCCTAGGCCGTCTGCCACTGGTCTTAAGAAGGGATTTAAATGACACCAGATTTGACAGTGAAAGTTATCTTTGGACTTTTACTGTGGGTGTGGAATGGTGAGGAGTATCTGATCAGAGGATCTGAGGGGTATGGAGGCAGAAAAGGGACTGAGGGGGGCAGAGAAACTGCTGCCTGAAATCAGTCCTGGTAATATGTGAAGAGAGGACAGTGTGGAAGAAGGTATGGCCTGGCTGCTTGGTGCCAGTTAGGAGCCTTCTTGCAGAATTTTGAACAAGCTGTAGTCATGACAGAGATGCCTGACTGACTGAACATCAAAGCATGTAAGACTGAGTCTCAAAATTTCCAAACGAGAGAGAGAATGTTTTATTTTTTCTGCAGATCTAATGCAGAGAAAACTACTACTAAAGACAGAGGTTATTAATTGTGTCCTTTACTTGGTTTTGGAAAAAAAAAGGGTTATGTGTTATCAGCATAGCCCTGATAAGGGGCATTGTATTGTCTAAAACAGACCCCTAGTGGAAGAACAGTAGTAAAAATAAAATGTGGCCTCAAAAAGAACCTTGTGGGACACCACAAGAGAAAGAGGATGAAAAATTATCAGTCATTACTGAAACTGATCAATGCCGCGATTAAGAAACAAATCAGTCCAATGCCTTACCCTAAAAAGTCTGCTTTATCATTGATATGATACAAGAGTATAAACATATCATATAATCATATAACATATAGGTCATACTTTGGTTAATCTTTTTTCTTGACATAATAGAAGAATAATCTGATTTTATACCCACAAGTGGCCAGAAAAAAATCTACTTCTACAGCTAAAGAAAAAAAAAAGATTATTTGAAAACAGAATTGACAGGTATGATAGGAAGAGCAAGATAATCCGCTAACAGATGTGAACTGTGCTCAAACCTGCAACAGTCTCAATTAGGTTAACAAATCCAATATAATGAAAAATAATATATTTTGTTTCTTTATTCAGGAATTAACCTGGCAGATCTACATTAAATCCCATAACAAAGAGGGAACTATTCCTGTCATTCCTGTCAGTACTACCTCTGCATACCCAAGTCTCTTTTTTTCCGCCCTATTCTTAACAAACAAGAATATTCAGTGTCACTGCTGTCAGAGCTGATAGGATTCATACAGTCTCAGGACAATGACATCAAAATCTGCATGTGTTAGATCTGGGTCTCATTGCAGTATAACCTCCTTATCAGAGCAATGCTGTAAAAAAAGAGCAAAAATATATGGCAAGTGTGGTACCTGTGGTGTCAGTCAAGCTGCATGTTAGCTCTTTAAATGAATGGCAGCAGATGCACTCCAGTGACAGATCTGTGAGATATTAATGCAAATTCTTGCCTCGAGGTTTTGGGTGTGTGAATACTGTTTCTGCAACTACCACAACTTATAAGTCACCAGTGTGATTACGTTGCTGCTGATCCTCTGCAAGTTGAAAAGAACATCTAATTTTATTTTCATAATGACATGAATGAAATACCCAGACATTCTATTCTGAAAAAGATTCCTGACAGGAAAGCTTTTAAAACTATATGACAGCACAATGAGCTTGAAGAGCTAACCTGCCAGTAGTCACACAGCATGATGAACACCAACAATGTTCCAATTACAATAACTCTATAGATTCTCTGAAAAGGGAATAAAAGCCCCTTTTTTGTCTTTAGCTCAGACCAAAGTCAGCGGGGAAGAAGGAAAAAAAGTGATTTTGCTTTTATAGATATCGCCTATAACCAGTCCAGTGTAATGAAACAATATCTTTTTGAGTGGCCTTTGTATTTCATAAGTCTTGTAAAAATGTCCTCATGAAGGTTGACATTTTTAAAAATAACAGTATTACTTTGCTCTTTCATCTCTCACAATCTCCATTCTCCTTTGTCACAAATGCATCAGCAAAACACAGGTTGTCTTTCAGATATCATAAATTCGATGATATCTGCAGACAGGTGTAATGTAAGGTGAAGTTGTTGCACACTTCAAGCATCTGGGCTGATGAATCATTAATCAACCAGAACTTTATTTTTTCACTGCTTTGTCCTCAAATGCCCCAATTGACTTAAAAAGATAAGAAAAACGTAACTAAATCGATTTAAAATTACCTTAAAGGAGCTGTTTATCAGTTTTGCTATTGCTACGTAGCCAACTTTAGCATTAACAGCTGTTTACTTATCAGTCTAGAAGAAACATTACTCCAATGGTGGAAAGCAGCACCAATGTTAACCTCTTATCTCTATCAAGTCTTTTCTTCTAATAAAGTTAGCATGCTAGCACTAACCAGCTTGTCTCATCACTTCCCAATAGCAACTCACTGTAGCCTCTAATCTAACCTGAAGACTTGGCGCTGTTCAGAGTGGGTATTATATAAGCAGTGATGGCCAAAGCTCTTGTCAAGTGACAATCACCACCACCTGTTCCTGACAAACTGTGTTGCACCTTCAAAATCAGCCTCAAGTTTTTCCTTTTAATTTTTCAAGTTTAGTTTGCTATTGCACTTGGCAGATTGACAAAAACACCACATGTAAAAATAAGACGTCAGAATGTGAAGGGAAGACTGGTCTTTGTGCTAACGTTCCAACAACATGATTAAATCCAACTTTCTGATGCCTCCTGTCTGTTAACAAAACTGAGGCATCTTTCAGTCATCAGTTTTTTGTTGTTTTTTTTTCTGTCTCACCATCATTTTTAACCTTGTATTTACCTTATGTATTTCATAACAAAGTTCTCCTCAACATCTACAGTCATATGACCTCCATAACCATAAAATTAGATTTTGATCTCAACTTTCTGCTTTCTGCATGAATAATAAGCCACAGTAATCCAAAATACAACTGCACATGTCACTGGCCTTTACTCCAACACACAAACATTGATCAATTTGTAATATTCACCCTCACAAATCTGATGAATGTATTTTTGTGAATGGATTATTTGGCTTCAAGTGGCAGGTGTCATACGAGATGAATCCATGTTTGTGAGCTGTAGGTGAACCAAGGGGTGCAGGACATTATTTGCGAAGAAAACGAGAATGTGATGATGTATTTACCAGCTGTCTGAAGTAGTTCTAGAAGTACTTTAGACATAATTTTGAGTGTGTGTGTGTGTGTGTGTGTGCGTGCGTGCGTGCGTGCGTGCGTGCGTGTGTGTGGGCACAGCTGGCTAAATGCAAAGACAGGTCAAGGCCATAGCTGGAGGGGTGGGAACAGGTCAGAGGCCTGTACAACTGCTGAGATCCCATCAACCGTGTAGCTAATGCCTGCCTGGAGAGCATCAACGCGCATCTCGTTCCATCACTTACGCATGCAATCTTGTCTCTGCCATTTCATTCTGCTCATATGTGCAAGATAGTGGGTGGTCATGCAGGTCCTACAGCTACAACCGAGGACAGAACGAGTGAGAACAATATATAACAATATATTGTGGTTTCTTTTCAATAAAAATCAGCACTGATATGAGGATTTGACCGGCTTCAGAGTGTCAGTCTGTAAAACCTGCCTCGTCCTGCTTTAGAAGATAATAAAAGTGTGTTGTTGTTGTTGTTGGTGGTTTTTTTCCCTGTATTGCCATGAAGACATTAAACCTTCTGATTTATTTGTCACTCTCACAACATACTCCTTCCTGTTCCTTCAGGACTCATAGACGCCCATTGTTTCCAAAAACCCATTAAAAAGAGCTTAAAGAGATACAGTATAGACAGTGCTAACAAACATTATCCATTACATTAGACAACTGGGAGTTTTGTCCTAACAGGACTTTATACACAGTCATTGATGCTGTAACAAAACAAAATTTTTATATGACCTGGATCAACACATTACATTGTGTAGATTTATTTTTCCTCCTCCCTGCCAACAGAATGATGGGATAATGTATTTCCATAAAGAATCACGTAAAGAATCCACCATTTTCAATTCATTCAATTTGAAAGTTTTTATCTAAGTTAGCTGTTTTTATTAGGTTTTTCAAAATAAAATGGCAAAAAAAATATGTTGACACCAGTGTTATCCTTTGTTTGAGGAGCTAAGCAACCTAAAACATGTATTAAGTGGTGGTTTTTGTCTCATATTGGTCTAAATGTTTTTTAGAGGCTTCAACAAAAAAGAAATTGTGGAGAAAATATTACATTTTTCAAGTTCTGTTA